CCAGTCCCAGTCCCAGGGCCTTGGGACCGGTAACAGTCCCAGTCCCAGTCCCAGTCCCAGGGCCTTGGGACCGGTAACAGTCCCAGTCCCAGTCCTAGGGCCTTGGGACTGGTAACAGTCCCAGTCCCAGTCCCAGGGCCTTTCGTAGTCGTGTTCTTTGACTGCGTCGCATACAGTTGTTTGGTACTTCCGGAAGACTTTGGGACTTTCGCTGGATGCCGCTGCTATTTGTGGACTGGGACTTATGTTGGGACTTTTACGGACCTACAGGGGTCCTAAAATGGCGTTTCGACCTCGGGACCTAACTTCAAGATCCTCCAAGAACGATGAAGCGTTTTTCGGCTGTCTTCAGTGTTGATGCCTCTCTTAGCCCTCCCGAAATACGCACTATGCCTGGGGCTGTCACTCACAGCTTGTTCTATGTATACGACCTATCGTCCGCAAGTTCCTGGTACCGGAACAGGTTCTTGTATTGTGACTGTGGTGCTCTTCTCCTTCCGGACCTATAGGCCTTTTTCCCTACAATATGGTCTATGTCATTATGGTCATCTGTATCAGTAGAAAGTGATGGTCAATCAGTAGGGTACCGACTTATGTGCAGGTAGGGAGGTATATCAACAACAACATAGGATGCACCATCTGGATCTTCTATTGCATTCATTATTTCCCGCTGTAGCAACTTCTCCTATAACACTCGTTATTTCCTGCGGCCCTCTGTAAGCCGTGTTAACACCTGAGCAATCCATTCATCTGTCAGAAACCAGTTAGACTTGACCCGGACGTAATCCGCAACAACATATTTGGTATGCGGTGCTTATTAGCCTGTTCCTGTGTAACTCTCCGTACATCGTGCGGGCCTCCGCTTGTACGGCCGTACGTGCGGCTGCCCGGACGGTCGTACGGCCATATGAACGGTCCCGTACAAAATGACGAACCCCCCCCCAAAAAAATGAAAAAACAAATGTAGAGCTTTTTGTTATCTAGAGCCCCATATTTTTTATTTATGTTTTGGTCTTTTTTGATATTTTTTAAAACTAAAAATCATCAAAACGGGGAAAAAAAACAAAATAAAGAAATAAAAATTGATTGATTAATCGATTGATTGATTGATTGATTGATTGTCGATTGATTGAAGGATTTGATTGATTGATTGATTGATTGGATTTCAAACTAGGCTACCAAAGTTTCCCGGCCGGGCCAAAAAGATTTTAAAAAAATAAAAAATAGAAATTATTTTTAAATTTTATTATATATTTTTAAATTGGTAAAGAATTTCGATGTGACCCTGAGGCAAAAGTTGTTTAGTTTATTTTTCTGCATAACATAGTTTTTTTTGGGAGTTTTTGGATTTCCTTTTTTTGGCTGGGAGTCCGGGACCTTCCCTTGTCCTTGCACGGGTTGGCCACCCGGGACCCGGGCGGCCCGGCTGGTAGCCTAGATTTCAAAAAAAAAAAAAAAAACTCACACATAGGCGCGCAGCCATGTGAGAGCGTGCTCTCCCTCTGTCTCTATGTCTCTCTCTCAGCGCGTGCGCCTGAGAGAGAGAGAGAGAGAGAGAGAGAGAGAGAGAGAGAGAGAGAGGGAATGTGTGTGTGTGCGTGTGTGGGTGTGTGTGTGTGAGTGTGTGCGTGCGCGTGTGTGTGTGTGTGTGTGGATGGGGGAGGGGGGGGGCGACCCTCTCCCAACCAATCAATCAATCCAAAACAAAAAGGTACAGGGCATCATTTTTCTTCTTTTTATTTTTCCCGTAATCAATCAATCAATCAATCAATCAAACCTTGACTACCTGTATTCTGATGTAGTGTGTTGTCGAACGCTGGCAGTCTAGAGCCTCGTCCCTTTTTATGGCTGACCACCTTGCTCCTGGGAGGTCTGGAAACCCCTTAGGATTTAGTGTTGAAAGGAACAAGTTACAACAAGCCAGCCATGAAATCGGTGAGAATAGGTTCAAGATAAGTAGTTACAACGGGGAGATGCGGACTTAACATCTATTCAT